GTGTGTGTGTGTGTGTGTGTGTGTGTGTGTGTGTGTGTGTGTCCAAATTTTCTGTGAACCTGCAGCTCCCCCCCACCATTTGTGAATCTCTTTTTATCCCTGCCAGCGTGAGCAGACAAAGACAAATTCTCCTTCCCGGTGGAGCTGTTTTTGTAGAAAAGTGTAAACAGGTAGCAGTTATGGATCGTTTTGCACATTTTTCATTTACCTGGATGATGTGTGTGGTAACCGTGCCCCCCTCCTCCTCCTCCTCCTCCCCTGCCTCCAGGAGCACTGACGCCTCTCTCTCGCTGCCACTTTCTCTCTCATCAGGAGGTGATGCAGATGGAGCYGCAGCTCGGGGGTCGGCTGATCGACGAGCCCCACGTCCTGCTTTTCAAAGACAGCTACCACAACCTGCGCCTGTCCATCCACGACATGCCCCAGGCACACTGGAGAAGCAAGCTGCTCGCCGGCTACCAGGTGTGTTGGGTGTCCTCTCCCCCACGGGGGGAGTGGGGGGGTGGGGGGTCCGGGGAGTCACTCCGGATCAGAGCAGGAGCACAGGAAATGTAATACAAGTGCCTGGCTGAATCTGTCAAATTAGTGCAGCAGCAGGTATAAAGGCGCTCTGTAGTCMGTTTAAAATCCAGGTTGTCACAGGTTGTTTTGAATTAGGCTTTCAGAGGAATTAAACACAAACTCAAGCGCAATCATTTAAAAGTTATTCGGGAGTAACTTTTATTTTTGTGGAAGGTTCACGYCCCGCTGTTCTCCATGGAAACTATTGTCCTTGTCATTAGTGCAGAGCTTTATTTAGCTTCAGTTTAAAGATTCACACAAAGAGGATGTTTTTTTTCTCTCAGTCCCTCACTGCAAAACYCCTCTGTATAATAAGTTTGATCACAGGAAGCCTTCCGAGAGCGTTTAAAGATCACGCATGTGTTTTCTGTGCTCTAAGCCAAAGGCGCAAGCAGATTGGTTTGACTGCTCTCTCTCTCAAAGGGAGCTCAGGTAAAATACAAAGCAGAATATAAATACTGTGCAACCTGGATTTTTGTGGACCTCTCCGACCTCACCAAGCCTGCACAAACAGCCGCACACCGCAGCCCGGTGACTGTATAACACGAGGGTTATTCAAAGAGGACTGGAAAATGTTCCCTCTGTAARGATGTAAGCAGCAGGTCCCTGAAGAGCACACAGGCTGCAACAATGCAGCCAGAGCAGAGGCTTATTTCTCTGCACTGTGCCTGTTCATTTGGAAGTGTTCTTCCCTCTCAGCAGCACAGTCAAAAAGGCCTTTAGTCTCCCCGGAGCTCCTTGAAGACGTCCGTGTGTTTCACCCGGCTCCCCGTGTTGCAGGTCTGACTGGGTAACAGTGCCCCCATTTGGTCAGCAGCATGTCCTGCAGGCCCACTTCACCCTCAAAGTGTCTTGTTAGTAGTTGAACTCAGACTAAAGTGGACAGTTTYTGAGCCTTTTTCCCCTTCTCTCATCATTACCAGTTTGTTCCTCCAGAGTTATGCTAATAAGTTATGAATATGCAGCAGCAGAAATAAAGATGCTGAAYATGTCAGCCTGTCTTTGGAGCCAAAGCTGTTAGGTGGACATGTGTACGTATCGATGTCCCTCGACATGTTTTTGATTTTTATTAGAGGTGCGTTTAGTGTGCYCAGCAGTATACTCAGCTCTGTATCTAAAAGACAAGAAAACAATAAAACAACGRGCTGTGCTCTCCTAAAGCTGCTTACTGCGATGTCAGGAAGATCCAGACAAATGTAAAATAATAATAAATATGCACTTTTWTAATATCAGTGGTTAATAGGTTCCTAAATTAAAGATTATTGGGCAGAATTTGTGAATGGCTGCCAACTAAATCCATTTATTTGCATTTGGAAGCAGCCAAAGTGTCATTAGTGTTGACATCAATGAAAGAGACCCATTTGAACAAGACTCAGAACAATTTTAGTGTTTTACTGGGCATTAAAGCTCAGATTTGTTGAGTAAAGTATGTAGATAGGCTTTATAATAGTCTAAATTGAAAGAGGCTTGAAAACAGGAAGTATGTAAACTTTGTCAACTGGATGACATGAAAAAACAAATGATGTACCAACTTTCATTTTGGTGACTGAAGCATTTAAGTGTAAAAAAAGGTCAACATCAAAAGATTGGTTTGTCACATCAAAATCCAAGATTACCACCACCATATGTCATTATATTTCTTATGTTTATATTCCTTTACGTTTAAGGAAACTAAGCTTTCTAGTTTTTATTTTGCTTAAAACATTTCCTGCAATGACTGGGTGGCTGAAGATTAATCTATGGTGACCAAGACCATAGGCCACGCCCCCTTGCTTCACCATTACACCTGGTAATTGATAAAAAAAAAATTCCCTCCGTTCACTGGGACCCCTCACTTTGTGCTGCTTCAGACTAGTGGAAAAAAAATCCTATCTACAGTTTAACTCCTGCCCACTTGAATATCTTACACAGAAAACATGAAGTTTTATTTACATTCCTGGAAAAACCCTCGAAACATTCATAATTTAAATCCCTCAGCGGACATCAGTGTCTCGCTTGTTAGGAGTGAAATTTGTTGTCGTCACCTTTAATTTCAGAATAGATTCACTCATATTTACACCCAAACATCACTTTCCTGAATGTGTCTGTTTCACAGAGCCCAGCAGTTGTAATGTAGCTCAAACTTCCAGAGTTTTCAGCTTTGTTTACATTGAATACGTACCCGTATTTCCGAGTTAAATGTCAGCGTATTTGGAAAGCTTCTGGGGTAACCACTTCCAAACTGCAGTATCTGATAAAAGTCCTGGACAACTTTTCAAAGTTTTTTTTTTTCATATAGTTTGCAATGAGAACCTTCAAATCCTGAATGTAATCCTTTTAGATGCTCAGTCATCTTTTAACTCCTATTAAAGACTCCATTTATCAGTAACAGCACATTTATTTCCTGTGACTCACTTGAAAGTTGTCAGTCTTCTGCCTCAGACCTCCGTTCGCCTAATGACTGCAGTTAGTGTCGGAGTAATTAATGATAATCTCAGAATACGTGCGGGCGGTGCTGTTGTCGGCGCGGCTCAGACACGAGGCTCTGACTGAGCGGCTGCGATGTTCCTCCTGCAGGAGATCCCGTTCTACCACATCTGGAACGGTTCCCAGCGGTACCTGCACTGCACGTTCACTCTGGAGCGGCTCAGCCTCAGCACGTGCGAGCTCACCTGCCAGCTGTGCGTGTGGCAGGTGGAGGGGGAGGGCCAGAGCTTTGCCCTCGACTTTAACATCGCCAAGGTAAGGCTCACAGCAGCCACTCCAGTGACTGTGCAACCACTGTTATTTACAGTTCTCATCTGAAGGAGGCATAGCYTGCTTTCAAATCCTTCTTTCCCATGTTTAAATCATTCTGTTTGGGTATAAATAAATGCAAAAAAATGCATTTAACAGCTAAAAACATAGGTTTAGCATGATTTGTCCTCTTTAATCCCCTACCACCACACAAGGCAGGAGATGATGTCATTACCGATATGTCTCTGTGTTTGTCTCTGCTATATATAAAGAATCTAATGAACAACTAAACAGACTGTAATGAAACTTGCAGGAAGTTATCCCTAGATGTCCATCAGCTGCTGATAAACACAATTCAAGATGGCCACCTCAGCTAGTTAGCTTTAGCAGACACAAAAATAGCTATAACTCCCATCAGTTTAACAGATACTGAGTAAGAAGTTAGCATGGCAGTATCTGAGAGTGATCCCCAACACTTTCTCAGATCAGAGAGGCAGCCAAGAGGCCCATGGTGACTCTGGATGAAATGCAGAGAGCCACAGCTCAGGTGGGGGAAACTGTCCACAGGACAACAATTAGT